CAGAAACCCCCAGCCCGTTAAAACAGTGGACTTGGCAGACAAAGTTATGTTGTAGAAATGCAGGAAAATAAAATAAATTTTAAAAATTAGAATTAGAGTTAGGAGAGGAGGAGAAGAAGAGGAGGAAGAGGAAAAAGAGAAGATCAACGACTTAGGAGAGGAGTCAAAAACCTCTTGAGAAGCGTCCGTGGAACCAGTTATCCTTCCTTGAGCTGGAAGAACACCAGACTGGCCTCGAAGTTTCTCCCTCAGGGTCATTCTGGTCTCCAGAGACAATTCTTCTGGAATCTGCAAGCCATCCAGAAGATCACAGAGCTTCTTCTCCCCCTCAGTCTGCACGGGAACGTCCACCACCGCTCTAGCCTTGCCCTTCTCACTCTGCTTGTGAAGATGCCTCCTGGAAAGGCCGCGTGGCCAGATTATTCCCTCGTCAATCTCATAGCTGAAAACGACAGAGATGCAAACACCGATGGAAAAAAAAAATCATGTGCCTGGCAGGTGATGCATCAAGCTGATTAAAGAAAAGCTCAAGACCGCCAATGTTGGCGATGTAGCGAGACTCCTGGGCTGGAAAGTGGAGTCCTCCAGATGGGTAGGACTTCAACTCCCAGAAGGCTTAGAGAAAGGTTGGGAATTCTGGGAGCAGAAATCCAACCCAAGCAAGGGTTTGGGGACCAATTGTTCCAGAAGATTGTTGTGGAAGCAAATGAGGAGTTAAGGGGTTAACCATATACAGCACCTTGAGCATCGTACAGGAACAATCTAAATGCAACAGGTAGATAAATAAAAACTCAAATAGTTGAGTCGGTTGTGGATTGCTGCTTTTTATCTCTGCAAAGGTGTAACAGGGATCGATACGCAGGCTGAGGGTCATTTGGGAACCTGGCCTCAAAGATACCTGCAACATATTTCCCCATTTATCTATTTTGTTTATTTACTGCAATTCATAAGCCACCCAGGTTCAAAGTGCCTTACCAAAACAAGCAACCTTAAAATTAAAACCACAATAAACAATAACAAAATCACAGCCCTTCCAAGGCACCGCGACAACAGGCAAACCCTGGTCAGGAGGGTCACCCCCCACCAATCAATTCCTATTGCAAGCCCTTTGAGGTAGGCCAGGGAGGGAAACAGACCCCCACAGGAAATATGAGGACTCTGTTGATCCAGGCCAGCATTTCTCAACCTTGGCAATTTGGCAAGGCCAGCATGGGAATTCTGGGAGTTGAAGTCCGCACATCTTAAAGTTGCCAAGGTTGAGAAACGCTGGTCTAGCCTCTAACAACAGAATCTTGAAATCGAGACCGTGTTTCTCCTTCCCTCCCTTTTAGAACAAAGAGAATCAAAGTGCAGCAATCTTGAGTTTCTTTCTGCTTCCCTTCTGGGGTTTCATTCCTGTTTTCCTAACTGCCCTTGCACAGTTTGTCCAAGATCATCTCCCTGGTTCCTTACACTGATTGATGCCTCCATTCAACCCACCATCCAGTGCAACTTTTAATAATCTCCAAGCAAACGTGCACAGAAAGCACGCATTGTTAAAATAAAAGTATGCACCCTCAAAATTTAAAAAAAGCTATACTAACTGCCATAAACAGTATCCCCCTCTTGCACAGAATTTACTACTGTACAGTGTAAATTGGTGTTTCTCAACCTTGGCAACTTTAAGCTGTATGGACTTCAACTCCCAGAATTCCCCAGC